GAATGTGTTTTTAGATAGATAAACTGATAGATAAATAGATATAGATGTAATCTTTATCATTGAATAATATATTATGATAATTTTTTCAGCCATTAAACTTATTTGAAAAAATTATTTTCATCAATGCTATAATTTATAGTAAGATAAGACACTTAATTCTCCATTGCGTATTGGTTTTTTTTCTTTTGGTAATTGTTTTTGTTGCTATTTATAAATGAGGCTATGATTAAAATGCTATTATGTAAATTATTGTCTCCATCTAGTGATCACCACAATACAGAATAGGAAAACGTTTTACTTAAAAGAATATAGTTTTATTTTCTTTACAGTGTGATGTATACACACGAGTAAAGAAAATAAATGCAGAAAGGGAAACAAAAAGAACTTGAGAATAAATGAACAGCTTAACAGCTATTCGATCAAACTTTAGTGTATATATTTCTAGTTGTAAATAGAGGGTCAGCAAAAAAGAGGAAGACCCTCAGCAAGATGGATTCACACAGTGGCTACAACAATGGGCTCAAGCATAACAATGATTGTGAGGATGGCGCAGGACCGGGCAGTGTTTCATTCTGTTGTGCATAGGGTGGCGATGAGTCGGAACCGACTCAACGGCACCTAACAACAACAACAAATGTTTTATAGATTTTGAAGTATATTAGTAGACATTATACATTTTGCTTGATAAAAATTATTAGAATTTATAAAACAGTCCCTGGAATATCTCCTGTTAATCTGAGCACGCTGGTCCAAGAGGCATGAGTGCTGACCTGGGATGGAGATGGCTGACCTCTTCTCCTCACTGAGAATGGGGCTGTAGATGACACAAGACACAGTCTCTGCAGAGGCATCCCTGACCACAAGAGTGGATTCCACATAGAACAGGCCATCTTCATCTTGGATGTAGTGCTCAGAGTGAGTCAGCATCTTCTCTCCCCTGGAATTTTTCCAGTACACCTGGGGCTCTGGGAACCAGCCTTCTGCAGTACACACAAGCTGAACTCCACTTTCCACAGTCCCCTCCATGTGAATGTCAGGGGCAGATCCCAGACCTGTGGAAGGAAGTCACAGTCCTGAGGTCCAGAGCCACAGAGCTATAAATTATAGAGAGTAAGACTCAGAGATGTTACTCATAGGGAGAGGGCAGGGGTTCATGGGCCCAGGAAGCAGAAAGAGGTCCAAGGTCTTCTTCCCATTCAAAATGGAGTTCAGATCCATCTATTTGTTCCCCAGTCTGGATCTTTCAGTTTTAGTATCTGAACAATTTCATTCTTTAGATCTAGACAGGGGAACAAGGGAGAGGGGAGATATGACATTTTGCTTATGTCTCTATTACTGCACATGATTTTTTTGGTAATTTATTGAGGAACTCTTCCATGCCAGAAATCTGCTTTGTTCATCTTAATATTATCTGTGTCAGGCACTTTGTCTGATATTTTGGATGATTTCTTGACTTCAATTTAAACAAGATGTTTATTACAAAGTGAGAAATCTCTCCAATGGGCACTACTTTATCCGTTCCTTTTGCTGGTGGTTCTGATCTTGGGAAGCAAGTAGATAAACTGAGACATATGAAATGGGGAGCTCCGTAAGGAATTCTTGAATCTAAGTATTCCATTCAGAGGGAAACATGCTCTCCAGAAATCCTAGTTTAGAACAATTAATACATTCATGAAATTTCTTTGTAGTGTTATTCAACACTACAACTCCCAAACTCAAACAAAGGCGACTGTATTTTCCATAGATGGGAATTCTGATTCTATCACCTACTGGTGGAAAGAGACTCAGTCATTTCACCCAGATCCTTAGAAAATTCATGGTATATTTTCAGATGTCCCTGATAGTGAAAGGCGTTAGCATGTCCCCCATCCCCAGGTCTCAGCAATAAAAGGATTCTTCCATTCATTGTCAATCACTTTGAACATAATAGCAGTAATAATCATAGTTATGGGTGTTAACAGTAAGCTAATAGAGGAAACACTCTTGTGGGAAATAAAGAAGGAAATAGCATCTGCCAGAGAACTATTTTCCTGGTAAGTAAAATAACTTGCCTTATTTTCTCTTTTGCATATGGAGGGGGTATTCCTGTTAGGGAACCATATGACATTTACTTTTCAGATTTTTTTCCATAAGACAGACTCGTTCTTCAGTTATCCTTTCTCACCCATTCCTTCCTTCTTGGCTAATACAATAGCATTCTGTGGAACATTGCCATTCACACTGGATATGTTCCAGAAACATTCGTTGAACACTAATATATAGTAATCTAATCGTTGAGAACTATTCATTTCATTGAACACTATTATATGATAATCTTCATAAAAACACAATGTGTTTAGCCTCTTCAGTCCCATCACTAGCTTTCTAACTGGGTGCATGACACACAGAAAGAGTTTGCACGTCTCAGTTACTATATATGTTAGGTAGGGTGGAGAACAACAAATTCCACTGAGATACAGATTCTGGGTGGTCAGCTGGACTCACTGACTCAGAAACTGACTTGCTCTTGCACACCAACCTTATGTGACATAAATTCATGCCTCAGCAAAACTGCTAATGACTACATGTCGTGGATTTCAAATAATCCTCAAGAATACTCAAAACAATGAAAACTAAATTTAGGAAAATATTTTATAAGTGAGCTTGCTTTGAAGACTTCAGAACCACCTGCCTTCAAATGAATCAGAGTCGAGGACTGGGCTCTGGGAATTGCCTTGGTGATTAAAAGGAATTCTTCAACCAGCGATAATCTTACCGCACATTAAAATACTATTGCTTCTGAAGCTTAAGTCTTTTTGCAGATATTCACCTGCTACTTCGAGCTGCAAGCTTGTTTCTGCACAATAAGTCCTCTCTTGGAAGCGGCACCAGTATTGCCCATGGTCGGATGGTTGGATGTTGTAAATCTTCAGAGTCACACTTCCCTCGGCAATGTCGTCCTCTATCCACTCTACCCGGCCTCTGTACTCCTCCAATTGCATTTCGGTCACCTCAGCCCCGTCCTTGTATGCAAACACAGGTGTGCTGGGCTCTGAGAGGTACCACCTCACCTCCATATGCATCGCAGTCCTCTTGGGGAGAAGCTGACAGGTTAGGAGGGAGTCGTCTCCGATCTTGGCCAGTATAGAATGGGCAGGACTAATCACTGTAAAGTCATCTACAAAACAGAGCGAAAAAGAGAAACCAGTGGTAGTTCAATATGCTTGCTTTAGGATGCCCAACCTGTCAACAACAGAGGCACCTGGAAGAGGGAGGGCTTTATTTTTAAATTTTTAGAGAAATACAGCATGATGATTTCCACATTTTGGTTGTTACAGACACAATTTTGTGTACTAAAATAACACCCAGTTCAAAAACTTGACCCTGAGTGCTGAATATGTCACTTACTTCTGTGTGATTTGAAGACAAAGTTCATTATTCTCAGTGACCCTTTGAGGCTTGGAACCTCAATTTCTTCAATTTTAAAACACCTTAACCATCTAAAACTACCATCCCACGGTTGCTATTATTCTCAAATAACATAATATGTAAATTGATTTTTAATTAATAACTCTATTATTGTTATAATTACCTTTCCTAAAATTTAGTTCATAAATTCATTCATTAGATTTTTCAGCTTTTCAGGGTTTCTCTTGTCCTTGCTAAGGAATTGGGCTTACTTTCTTTTTTTTTCTGCAGAGGGCAAGATCCTAGTCATTGGAGGCTCTGTATAATGCAGTTCGTCCAAGAACATCTTGTGGGGGATTAAAGGCAATGGTTTTCCTAGAAATTTTGAACTTTCCAATAAAATTTTAAGTCATTTTTGGCCTCTTCATTACAAATTACAAATGAACAATATTTAATAATGTTGAATGTTTAATAATGTTGGATGCCATTTTATTTAATAATTTCAAGTTCCATATTCATGCCCTTTCTCATCTTAAAACGGTCCAGGGTCATTTGCACTTTCTACAGATTTAGTCCTCCTAAGAGAAAACTTTTATGAGTCAGAATCAACTCGACGGCAACGGGTTATTTTTTTGGTAAGAAAGAATTTCATCTTGCTTAGTTGTTACTCCTTATCAACTAGATGCCGCCCAAAGGGTCACTACAGATTGAAGTGGAGATCTACTTGAATTCATCATTGATGGAGTCCATACATGAAGCTAGAACTGAAGTCATACCACGGGGTTGCCTTCTTTTCCCAGTTAGGAAAATGAAGCACAGAGGAGGGAGGACAGCCTCTTCACATCAAATGGCTTGTGGCAGCACTGGCTCTGGAATGTGAGTTTCCTGATTTCCTATCCAATGTTTTCCCACTTTGCCATGCTGCATTTTTCTTGAAATCTGGTATTTCCCTTTGACATTGAATTTTCATAATCCTTTTTTCATGATACAATGTTTTGACGAACAAAATTCAGCTACTGATATTTACAAGTCCATTTCTTAAAAGTCTCCTTCCAATTTCTTATGTCCAAATATTTCTACATTGCTTAAATAATGGTGTTTTTGTTTTGTTTTGGTTTGTTTTTTTTGCCCCAAAGTGCTGCTCTGCGTGGAAGCTGGAGAATGGATAAATAATATGGCCCAGGCACTGAATCAAGGGTTTTCATGTATGATCTCGTTTAATTTTAAGCCTGTGCTTGCTTATGAGACATAGGTACTGCTATTATTCTTGTCATAAAGACCTGGAAACTATGACACAAAGTGCTCAAGTAACTTTCTAAAGGTAACACAGTTGGAAGTGGAGGAGCCCTTTGTGAAGCAGAGGTGTTTGGCCCATGAGTGCAAACTATTAAATGTTGTACTAGCCCTTTTGAGTTTAGAATTCTGCATTTGGACTGGATCCCTGGGCCATTAGAGAGTCCAGAAGGTGGAAGGAGAAAATCCTACCTGACTGCTTCATGGTCAGCAGTATGAAGAAAAAGGAGGCAACTGTACCGGATAGAGTGTACCCTGGAAAATCCACCATCTTCCCTGGAACAAACACGAGAGAAAATATATGACGGTGCCTAAATGAGGCTGTAGTGCACCAACATACTCCGTTGTTTCCAATGGTTATGCAGTCTTAATAAGGACATCTGTGTTGACCAGTTCCCCCATCAAACAACAAAATGAGTGTGGCTCCGTTTCTATGTAGTTATTGATTTCTTCCTGTCCCTTACCTAACCTGTTGTACTTTAAGCTGTTACATAGGCCTGAAGGAAGTTTTTTGAAAAGCATGCCTGGGTTAAAGGCACAATAATATTTTTTTTTAAAAAAAGTCCCTTGGACCATCTGTGTTGAGCATGTAGAAGTTATGGAATGGGATTCAACTATTTTTTCTCTTTCTCTTCCTCCTCCCAGCCCCTCCTGCAAAGTCCTTCATCACTATAGTTTCTTAGATGTAGAGGAAAGGGCAGGAAGGCACTGCGTCCCCATGGTGCTGCCAGCAAACCATTATTTGGTGCCTTGGGAAGACCCAGGGGCAAGGGGATGCTTTGGAAAGTGAAGAAAAGAGTGGTAGAAATGGTGCCTACAGCAAAAGATGGCCAAGGAAACCGCTTAAAAATGGCCTTTGAGTATAGTCCTGAAGATATATAGGAATGAATAAAAGAAACAGCCGAACTGGTAGAGATTGGAAAATCCAAGAGGTCCGTTGTACCAGACTTATAAAAATGCTTCTACACAGTTAAAAAGTTTAAAAAAATACTAGGACAAAAATAGAATGCTAGCTTTACTTTTAAAAAATGAAAAATCTAGAGTGAAAGAAGTCTAAGACTTATTCTTTCCAATGTGTCAAGTATTTTATTGAAAGAAAAACTTGCTTCAAACCACGTAGAGGAACCTGCTCAGCATCAACAATGAACCAGTTACTCCCGCTTTTTTCCCAGAGGCAAATGGGGCAGGAAAACATCAACAGACCGTCTGAAATGGAGATTGTGAATCAAGTGGATCAGATTATTATTACTCTATTTGCTTTCTAAAAAGATACATGCTTTCATTTAAAACATCTCTAAGGAAACTAATATGGGCCCAGTCACAATACCTAGATCTAAAAGAGCACTAAAATATGCACATGAAATGAGACTGAGCATTACAAGACAATGTAACCAAAAAAAAAAAATTTCCGTCTAGTTAATTCCAACTCATAGCAACCTTATAGGACAGAGTAGAACTGCCCCATAGGGTTTCCAAAGCTACAATCCTCAGCGAAGCAGATTGCCACATCTTTCTCCTTCGGAGCAGCTGGTGGGGTTGAACCACCAACCTTTCGGGTAGCAGCCAAACACTTAACCACTGCACCACCAGGGTGCCTACAAGACAATCTAGACCACTTGAAACTTATCAGACACTTACCCTTGGTTCCTGTTGTGCAATGCAGAAACATCCTGTTACATCAAGTAAGAGCAAAGAAGGCCCACAAAAGCTGTGCCAAGGACGTTCCCTTGGCCTTGTAAACGAAAAAGAATCCACACTTGTTACAAACCAGTTTATAGGTTTGTATTCCTTTTGTTTTTCTGTTCCTTTTTGTTTTGTTTTGTTTTATGTTGAAGCAGGAGATTTAAAAAAAAAAAAAAAACTACAAATGCACAATACAAAAAGAAATTTTCCCCAATCAGTGAAGCTTTTGAGAATGTAAGAATGTTGTGAAAACGCATCTAAACCTTCTCTGGTGCGAAGAGTTTCTCAAGGGTCAAAGGTGGGCAAGGGGAGAGGAGCGAGAGGGTAGTTTTGCCCTCAGGGGACATTTGGCAAAATCTATAGATGTTTTTGGTCGTCAAACCTTGGGGGAGGGGTATCTAGTGGGTAGAAGCCAAGGATGCTGCAATGCATGGGACAGTCCTGAGGACAAAAGCATCTAGTCCAAAATATCAATAATGCAAAGGTTGAAAAACTCTGCCATAGACCATCTGCTCTTGGTGTGCTGAAAATCTTTGGTTCATTATTTGAAAATCAATAGCTTAGCTTAAGTTGCAAACCTTAGATTTTTTACAGAGTCTAAAATCTTTATATTTAGTTGAAATGTATCTTCCTTACATATCATTAGTAAAATTAACAGTAATTATATAAACAAAAACAATTGTATAAGAAGCGTCTGACGTCTTTATTTTACCTTCTGAATGAAGACCAGGAATCTTCTGAAACTGCCATTGGTTATATTAAATATGGTAAATTTTTATTTCGACAAGAGATATGATCTAATATGTGAATCATCGAATTCTCAAAAACCCATATTTCATTTAATTTGCTGGATAAAGTACATGTGTTAAGATGAAACAATAAGTGGTGGTTTGTGTTTAAGCATTAAGTGAATGACAAATTCTCAATTTCAATGTCCTATGCAAGTGCTATTAAAATTCATGTCAGAGAAAATTACAAATACTATATATCATGGATTGCTGGAAAGATTTTTTTTTCAGTAAAAAGCCTCAAATGTTAAATCCTCAAAGTGCAAAGTAGACACAGTTTTTGGTATTTTTTAAATTTTAATTAACTGGTGAGAATAAATGAGTCTGGTTTATGAAGTTTGGAGTTCACTTATCTGCTTAAACTCAAACAGCTGTAGTTTATCATGCGTTAAAATAATACATTTTTATACAAAAAGCAAGATAAAGTAAGAATTCTAGGAGACAAAAATGACTTGGTTTCTACTTTTGTGACCTGGGAATCTCACTTTACTTTCTTGAACCTCTCCTCTCTCTACCCTCTGATGGAGACAATCATTTCCAACATTTTTTTCAGCTGTATTATTGCCATGTGACAGACAAAGAAATTGAACCTCAGAGACACAAGTCCAACATCACACGTGATAAATGAATTACTTTATCCTGGTTTTCTGATGTTTAATCTAGCGCCCCTTCCTTACCCATACAGGTTCACAGGAATATTGTGAGGATCAAATGAGCTCTGAGCATTTTGAAAAATATAAAGTGCTATGTAAGTGGGAGGTATTATAACAAGCGGCAGAGTTTTCCTACAGGGAGTTAACTCTGTATGTCCTACTTCCTCATCTTAGTCGACTTCCCCACCCCCCATAAGCCATCCTTCACCAGGGACTCTCCAACCACTCACGTGACTCCCTGTCTCCTTTAGGGTGAATCCAGGGGGCTGCTGGGTCTTCTCCTCACTTGGTCTCAAGAGCATGGGCTTCTCCTACACAGAAGGTTTCCAAAGACAAGTCGGAGTCCTGTGGTGCACTGATTGCATCAAGAACCCTTGAACAACCAGAGAAGGTTGAAAACACCCACTGTCCGGCCCTGGGGCTTTGAGTGAAGGAAGGAATCTGCTGTCTGGTCCAAGTTGAAGGGAGAGGAAAATACCTGCACCTGTCTGCAAGTTAGATTTCCATCAGAAGAGCATGTTCACCTCCCACCTGCTGTAATCTTATCAAAAGTGAAACTCCAAAGATGGAAGACAAGTGGACTTCGACCGACTGCAGTTATGAGGTCTTTAGACCTTCAGTCAATCGCGAAATTGGCGCTCCTAGCTGTACTTCAGAAAGCCAGGGCCTCACGCTACTCACTTGTTTTACACCCACCTGCCCTGTCTCGGGAGATGGTTAAAGTGCTTGGCTGTTAACCGAAAGGTTGGCGGTTGGAACCTGTCAATCGCTCTGTGGGACAAAACTGTGGCAGTCTGCTTCCATAAAGATTACAGCCTTGGAAACCCTCTGGGGCAGTTCTACTCTGACCTATAGGGTTGCTATGAGTTGAAATTGATTTGAAGGCAATGGGGCCCTGTCTCCAGTTAGTTACTCACGCAAGACTGGCAGTTCTGGTAACACCTCCTTATGGCTGTCTGTCTTCACTCTTCCCTCTGCCTCACCACATGACAAGGATTTCCCCCTTAGTAGAAAATTTCTATAAGAATATGATATTTATCTGGTTATAGAACTGGAAAGCAAGGCTGAATAACAAAAACCCTGTCCCTCATTTTACTGGTGAAGAAAAGGAAGCCTTAAGAAAGGAATTGCCTTCTCCAGGGTCAGAGTACCAGGGCCAAGGTCCCTGTGTCCTCATTTATTGCTTTTTACTTTACTTCTTTATTTGCTTTTTCTGAGTAATAAAGAGTTTAATTACGCTCAGATTCCTACCAAGGAAATTTAATAAGCTTCTCGACACAACGCTTGAGCACAAAGAGTGTATTGATAAAGGTGACTTGTTTTTAATATTTTCATTTTGGTAATATTTTTCTTTAGATTCCTTTCCAGAACCCCTGGAGTGTGCATATAGGTTCTCATAGTCTCAAGAGTTCTCTAGAATAATTTAAACTGAATTTTTCATTTCAAAGAAATAATGTAATTATATGCAGCATAATGATATGATAAGGTGTAAGCTGATTTTTTTTTCTCCCTGAAGTTTCTTTCCCTCCTGTTATAACCAGTGCTTATTTGGACCACCTAACTTGAGGTTACTATTCTTAATGTAAGAAGTTTTGCCTCCAGGAAGTGACCATTATCCATAGTGGGAGTCAATGTCAAAATATGAGGGTGGACTTCCGAACCAACCCTGCACCACTTCCTAGCTCAGAAGGTAAAATTAACTCCTGTGGGGTGCAGTAGGGTGGGGGGCTGTTTTTAAATTGGTAATTGTTGTGAAAATTCTGAACCCACTGAATTTATCTGGAAATCACTAGATTGACTGCTATAAGGCATTATAGTGCTTGGCAGAAACATTAAGATTAGCAATAAGAAAATACAGAAATTTATTTTTTTCATGCCTAAATTTGTGGTGTGGAAACTTACTGCCCACTGCACATATTCTGTGTCATCTGGATGATATATACTGTTGGAATTCTTCCAGGACTCTTAGTACCCATACTTGAATTTGTGCTCATGATCAATCACATTAGCACCAACTGACCACTAAAAGCAACTCCATTTAAGCTTTTGTGCATTTTTTCTCAAAAGAAAAAAAAAAACACTTACGTACACATTCTCTGCATCACACCAGTTTTGAAATAAGAACTGCGTCCTAAATTATGCTGAGC